TTCGGAGCAGGCTGCGAGCCTGCCCGGTCACAAACCGTCCCCAGGGAAAACAAACAGCGAGCAGGAGCGGCGCCGTCCTCGCCACGAGCCTCTAGGAGTAGGCTGTGCCTGTAAGGGCCGTGCGCCAAAACCAAGCAATGCAGTGACATTCACAAAAAATGATTTAAACCATTAAAACCAGGTGGATCCGCGTAGGTCCAAAATCTGGTATCTGGTAGTTCGGGTATGCGCAGTTAAGGGCATTAGAAGAACACATCGTGCTCTGAGAGCCTGCCAGTTTGCCGGTGCCTCTGCTTGAAGACGGTATCTCCAGACCTTGACAACACCACCTATGCCACCACATAGGACAGATGTCATGGAGCTCACCCTACAGCAACTGAGTTAACTGAGACTGTGCACCTTCCATCCTGGACTTTGTCTAGGGAGTTAATCAGAAGTTAATCAGTTGCCTTGCTTGAGGGGGCATGGGGCAGGGCTAACCAGAGGAGGAGGAGGAGGAGGTCCGCAGGTGGGGAGATGGCAGTGGTGTCTGTCCGCTGCCAGCTCAACCCCAGCAAGCTCGTTAGCTCAGGCTCACACAGGCCTGGGAGGACCCGGAGCAGCTCCATGCCTTTGGCTCCACGCTTGAGCTCAGCAGCTCTCCAGCCATCCTGGAACATGGGGTATCAGGGACACGGGATGGGGCCAGCCCAGCCCTGGAGGGCCCCAGGCGGCACTGAGGTGGGACATGTGCACTCCAGAGAGGAGCTGAGCCTCCCAGAAAGCCACACAGGGACCCTGCCCTGCCCTGCCCTGCCCAAGGCTGGAGATGGAGGCACCGCAGGCTCTCTGTACGGCAGCTGGCAACATCTGCTGGCCTGGGGGCTCTTTGGCTAGAAAATGCTGTGTTTCTTCCAGACCTTAGCTGATCTGCAAGTCACTGTGAATGAACTGGTGCAGAAAAATCATATAGAGGACTTATTTCTTTTAAACATTATGTTTATTTAGCTTTTCTTATTTGAGCCTCTAGAGTTTTATGCTCCCAAAGCTTACTTTGAAAATACAAAGTGCAGCGCTTCTAATGAATTAACATCAGAATTTCCTACAACCATGCCCTTCAAGAAGCTGGAGCTTAAAGAAAGAACCTGGAAAGACAACATCATTGCAAGAGCAAGCAATATTGCTCAGCCGTTAATTCAGAAATGGTCGTGCTGAAAGCACAGTGGGGGAAAAATGGTCCCAGGGATTTCAAGATGGCAATGCTGATCGTACTTGGGCTGAGGGGAAGCGTTAGGCAAATGTGGGTCACAGAGCTGCCTGTGACCTACCAGACTGTGGACTGAGGACAGTTCGGTGGCCTGTGCCCGGCCATGGGTCCTGCTGGTCCCGACTGTGAACAGTGGGCAGATGTGGCTGCCCCAGCTGCCCCCAGTGCCCCCCATCCTGCCCTGCTTTTGGCTGGGATGGAGGGACCAGCCCTGGCTGCTGAGGTCCTGCCTGGCAGCCCCCGAGGGGGCCCTGCCACTCCCTGCCACATGGCTCCATGACATATGTATGCTTTGCAACAAGTCTTTGCCGTAGTCTGTATATATTCTCTCAGGCATATTAAAAAAGCATGAAATTATATAGTAGTAGACAGACATATCGGGCTGAGGTAAACATAACATGACCTGCTAGTCATGTACTGGTTGCCTTTCCCACCATGCCGTCACATGGATTCATATTCAACCGACCTCAAGGAAGAAGAATTTTCACAAAAAGACCACCCTAACCCCCCCCTCCCCAAGACCCCAACAATCTTACAAAATAGGATGCTGTGTCGTATGGCACTCGCTTGTTCCCCAGGAGGGCGGGTGAGAGAGCAAGGGGTCAGCGAGGGCTGCTGGTGCTGTTGCTCGGTGCGCTGCTGGTGGGTGCCCGGCTGCGTGAAGCAGGAGCCCGCACAGGGCTGAACGCGTGGTTCCCAAACAGGCTGCTCGGCTGCTGACTGACAGCCTACAGGGCGTGATGTATCTGAAGCTGGCTGTCACCCAGGTTTTGAGAAACCATGAGTCAGATTTGCATCCTGAATGATTCTGTTGCTAAAACCTTCTTGGTTTAAAATGCGATTTTAGATCCACACATTTTACCACTCTCTGTAGAGCATGTCTAGACTTCAAATAAAACCTTATGAAAGATGTTAAAAAGATAGCAGCACTACTGGATTTGCATAAGATAACAGATTAAAATAAATTATCCTACAGAGATAAACCTTGTTCTCTCCAAACTGTTTGGTTTACGAGAACTTCATCGCGTTTGAGCACAGTTGTGTGGAACTGAGTCTACTTGCTCGCAAGATTACTTTTCTCCCTGTGATATACCGCCAGGTCAGACCCCACAGAGATTCACACATTTGAGCTCTGCAAATGAAGTATGAAGAAACAGCTGGCAGGGCATTCATTCTCTGTGAGGGATCCCCAGTTTTGGAAAGCTCGATCCACTGTCGTCCACCAGACCCTGGGTTTGCTTACCTCCGGGAATGCAGCAAAGTCTGTCATATTTTTCTTCTTTATTAAAATGATCGGAGGGTTTGGTTTAAATAGGTATGTTTATGGGTGGCCCTTTTACTCATGCCTGATTTTTAAATTGCACAGCTGAGGTCCAGGGCAGAGGCACTTGTATTTTCAAACAATAAATGTAATTGGCTGCCACAGTTCTGGAAATGCCTGAATTTAGGGATGGATTTTTTGTTCACACTGAACAAAGAAGTTGTGGTGACTATTGCATCAATGAATTCAATATTTCCCAATTTCTAAAATTTTACCAAGTATTGCCTGAGAATTTCCATCCTTCTTTAGTTTCCTTCAGTTCCTTCTCTCCTCCTATCCTTTCTTTCCTTTAGTCAAAGAGCACAAGCTTACATAAAACTTCAGCAAAAGGAAGTACGAGGCCATCCAGCACATAATCAAACTGCAGAATTCATTGCTATGCACAATCGCTGAAGCAGTTCTGTGGTGAATTTAAAAACTGATTGGATACTTTCGCAGTACAGCAGTGCTAAAGCAGGCTGCGTCCTCTGTACCAGCTATGTATATGTATCTCTATATATCTCTCTGTGTGTGAATACACCTATATAAAAGGAGGACTCTATTTCCTAAGGGTGTAGTTCCTGACACTTCATGAAAATTGCTTTTACTAAAAATAATTAATATTTTTAGGATGAGTAATTAACATTCATTCTTCAGGGCTTATGCTGATGGCCTCTCAGGAAATTTGAAGACTTATTTTCCTATGTGTAGCAGTAAGTAACTGGCAGCGTGGTACTGGGTCATTGGGTGTAGAACTTACTTTTTCAGGGGGGATTCTTTTTTACCTTAGCATTAAGTGTTTTTTCAAAGTATTTAGAATTTTCTGTTTTGCCTACCGTTGCAAAAGTATTCTGAGTATTTTATGAAATTTCTTTAACCAAATGTTTATATTTATTTTGAAGATGAAATAAAAATTTGGGTTTTCGCATTTGCCCCTCCTCACTTGTAATTCTCACTGTTCTGTACACTCCACACGTAATCTATTGTCTCACATTCTCCAGAATACATCCCAGATAATACCGTTTACACTCTGGACGTGGTCCTGCTTTTCACTGTTATAAACAGGCTACACTGGCTTGACAGTCTTCACCAAAAAATATCTATAACCTTCCGTGACAAAAGCTTGTGGCAATGGTGTAGCATTTGTGGCAACAGTTTTCTGAGACCGCCCGGTGAGAACAGAACTCTTAAAGCTTCCCCTTCACCTGCAGTTCCGAATTTAGGTGGGATACACGGGCACAACTTATTCAGTGGTAAAGAAGATGCAGTCATATAACTCTCCTAGAAAAATCCTCCTGGCATGTGCATTATAATATGCAAAAGAAAGTACCACTGACAGTACTTGGTTTTAATAGTTAGGTGGTATGTTTCTGCAGCTAGAAGGAAAATACAGTTATCTCCTTGGGCTTCTGTTCATCTTGCGAGGCACAAGAGTCATGTATGTTCTACAGAAAGCATAGGTTAGAAAAAGGCATGCCCTAGAATAATTTCTTACAAACATCCTAATTAAATCAGGAAGAATGTGTGCCCAGTTTAATTGTTGCAGTATTTATTTTGAAAACAGTCTGTGCCATTATTTGTATCTAACGCTATGGAAACAACCTTCAAAATGTAACTACGTATCTTGCAAGTATCTCCAGAAATTCCAATAAATAGCTTTTGCATATGCGTTCACTAGAAACCTTTGGGAGAACATAGTCATTGGCACATCATTGGAATTACGGGATAGATTTCTTCAAGCAGAGGAAGCATTGCCTAAATGAATCAAACCTTTTGGACCGCACACGTGCTCACTATCCACATCTGGGCTAGGGAGAGAAAAGGCTTTTCTGCAACGTATGGATCTTCCCAAAGAGATCTTATCAATGTCTGAAGTCATCTTTTAAAGGGCACCTGTAACCTGGATGTATCCTCTTTAATGATCCTCTTGTTTTGGAATGATGTATCCTCCACACTTCTTCAAAATCCTCCTCTGCACCTGCAACACTGTTTTTTTTTTCTTGGTTCTTTGCCTGCATCCCTTATTTTTAGTGTCTTTCTCTTTTTTTCCTATCACTTCTTTTTTCCTAAAAATACCACAAAGCTGTGTTTAGCCTGCAGCTTTGTAGACAGGCTCATGACCGTGTTTCTGTTCCTGATCTTGCTGAGTCCAGTTTCCCAGTGAGGGCTAGACTCCCCAGCAGTTTAAGCTGATGGAAACCACTTCCTCCTCCTCACCCAAATCTTTTATTCTTCCTAGGCAATCTTACCACATTGTCGTCCCTCATGTCACCTGGGTTCATAACCTAGGAATCACTTTCATCTTCAGTAAATGCAAAGAACCACTTGAGTGAAGCAAGGTACTCAAACATCAACCTTTTCATGGAGCAGCAGTAGATGTTTTTAAGGTCTTGAGGTTGAAACTGAGAGGTCTCCCGAGGTCCCTTCCAACCCTTGCCATTCTGTGATTCTGTGATTGTGACTGAGCTGGGAATCTCATGATGATGACCACAGATTGCTTCCCCAGGTGGGTTTATTCGCTGTTAGTCCCAGAAGCACACCTGGATCAAGCTGCGCTCCATGTATCCCACAATCACCGATTTTCTCCTTAACAGTGGACAACACCTGAATCAGCGTTCCTCTGGAATGAAATGCCTCGATGCACAGCCTGGATGCGATGCAGTCATTTTGAGGAAGCTGAAGTTATTTACCACTGTCAGCAGCAGTACAGGTATGAGACTGTTCCAAACTACATCAGCGTTTTTAGACTCTCCCAAAGAAAGAATTCTTCATTACTGCATTACTTTTTATTAATATGCCTTTGAAGTTATTTTTATAGTAATAGCTGGCCACAGGATTACCTGACAACAGCACAGCGAGAGTAAATTTTGCTGAAGGGCAAATATATTTTATAGCTATTATTGTTTTAATTAACTACGCAGAATGACACACAAATAGAATGTTTTGTAAAATACAGATGTAGCAGCTACGTTTTCAGAAATATCGTAATTCTCTGATGTGCAAATTACTATCTTTTCCTTCTTAGCTTCAGGCCTGAAAAGCAGTTGAACATTTGTTAAAACAATTGTCTATCCTTATTACAGGATTACCAAATTATGCTTTTATCATTTTGTACTAGAGGGTTTCTTTTACAATGTTCATAATTTAAAAGGGTTTCAGAAAATAATCAAATTAGCATAATTAACCTGATCAGACAGTGGGGATACGTTGAGCTATTCAAATTAGCTATTTTTTAATTATGCTTCTTTGCTTCTTAACGCCAAATTTCAGAATGGTTTTGAAGGCTTCCTTATGCTCATCTCTGTAATTCAACAAAACCCGCTGTTATCGGCAGAGGCTCCCATTACACGCTCTGTGACTCCGTCGAGACTTATCGCTTCTGCAGGGAGCTGCTGTAGCAAACAGAGCTGCCTTTCAGAGCCAGGCAGGGACGGGCAGCAGGGGCTCGCAGCGAGGGCACTGGGGTGGGGGCCTGGGGGCCCCCTTTCTACTCTCCGCTCTGTGACTGACCAGCCATGTGACCTTGGACAAGATACTCCTATATCTCTGTTTCCCCTTTTACCCTTTGCCTGTCTCAATTATTTAGACTGTAAGCCGCGCGTGACAAGGAGTGTTTGCAGCTGTGGCACCGCGCAGCCCCGTGAATCCCCCAGTCTTGGCTGAGGACTCCAGGCATTGCCATACCACAGAAAAAACGCAGTCGTTTCAGCATCTAGCATGTCACGTGAAATTAGCTAATTAACAGCACACTTTATGATTAAAAGTAAAAACATATATGTGCAGATACTTGTCCCTATTTTTACTT